TTTAAGGCATGTTTACACAACATTCTAATATGTGACAAGCATACGTTGTAATAATCGGGCAAATCCGCGCGTGCCTCGGTCTGGCGCGGCGCCCCGCACTGCAGGCCAGAGGTGCACCGAAAGCGAACTAGATAATCGGGAAGTCTCATAATCTCACTTCACATGAAACCGGGTCAAAGATTAACTTCCTGGTAGTGATGGGGACATTCGAAGACGCAAATTGCAGATATATTTTTTGTATTTATCCATCAGAGATTTACAGCTCAACAAAATTACATGTGTGAGAGGTTTAGTACCAAGACATTTTTTTGTGTGATTTTAATTTGAAAAACAGGGCTTAGAAAAGATGATAAAAAAAATTGACAACAAGGTACTCGCATGATGATCAGGAAGAAGAGGGGTGGATTATTGCTCATGATCGAAACTCACAATAAATTGAATTGAAATTCTTCCTGCGGCTCATGGAACTGCTTATCATGATACTGGCGTCTGAAAAATATATAAAGAATGTACATTAAGTTTGTTGAATGATTTGGGTATAGTATGGGTCCTGAACTTTAATCTACATTTTTGTTTTCCACATGAAAAAAAATTTGAAAATGAGTTTATATTAGAAGAGAACAACATTATATTTCAAAGGAGAAATTATACTTCGTCCTCTCTATCATTATCTTCAGAGTCATCTTCGCTCTCGCTGTCTGAAGATGATTCTCCAGAGTTGTCATCAGTACCTGTTAGTAAGAATATTATTTAATTACTGAAAAATCTTGGCATGATCGAAAGATATACCTGATACTTTCTTAGTTGAAGTCTCAGAGATTATGATATCACCAACCTCTACTGGAAGAGCTTCACCAAGGTACCAATGGAAATCGTACCCAGAAAAAGTATCAAGGGCCTAGCCCCCTTCATTATTTTTCATGTAACTGACAATGACATAACTTCATCAAACCCAGTATAGTTGAGTTTAGCGATGAGATTCACACGCTGCACTTATATACAGGGTTACTGGTAATCCGATTCATCCACTGATAGGGAAGGCAGTAAGAAGTGAATAAATCTGTAATATACATTATACAAGAGTAAATGGTTTTTGAGATATTTAAATATCGGATCTCCGACAAAAGGGAAAAACATCATTGAATGCCTACTAAATCATTACGTGCTACACTCTACCCGGCTGCTGCAGCAAATCATTGTTCAGATATGAAAATTGTTCAGCAAAAAAAAGGAAATTCTTCAAACCCGGGCTTTATATTTCTGGCACAATTTGACAATTTGGCGCATGATCGCTATAAGAGTGCTGCGTGTAAATGATATCGCTAGATGCTGTAGAGCTGTATTCGTCATAATAATCTCAACTCGATAGTGAGGTAAAGTATAGTGTTTCAGTAAAAAGAAATCAACAACTACCCAATAGTTCATTTGTTATGAACAGCCTCTGCATTCTTTTGATAAAAATGAAAAATCTCTTAGGAAAATCATTTTAATTGGTTTTTGAAAATTTGAAATCGGTTCAGAAACAACTAAGTTACAATGGGAGATATTTATGGTGAAACACCCTGTACGGAATGAGCAAATTGTATGCAAACCATCATTTCATATATACTGTGTGGTTCACTAACCATGGTCAAAATTTGAAGTTTTCTTCGATTATCGATTATTTGAAGAATATCCAGTCAAATGATGTTCGAATAAGTCGAGCTCCCCCCTCCGGAATCGTATGCAAATGTCGGAAAACTGATTAATGGGTCCGAATTCATTGTTTCGCCAAATGGCATACATTCTTCGATCATCGACTATAACACTGAAAAATTCCCACTTCCGGTCCGTATGCCGCCCTTGGGGAGTGACCTAGGCGTATGCAAACCGGCAAGCACCCTAATTCTCGTGAGATAAGATCATTGCACTTCATTGCCGAGCTTCTTCTTAAACAAAATTTTCAAATTTTTTCCAACCGAAAGGTGAGGTCAGGGCCGGGGCAAGGACTGGGTTGCGACTCTCCGAGGCACTTCTTATTGTTAACTCGGACTGAGTGAGTGGGTCCCTTGAATGGCAAACCGACTTAGAACATCGATAAACCCTGTGTCACGGGCCAACAGTCTATAAAGTTTATCAGTGTAAATAAGCTAATTTGATCCAAAGTCAGAGGTTAGGTCAAGAGAACTTCCCCTTTCATTGAAAACCTCTACACCTTCTGGTACACTAGGAATTTATAACGGGCTTTGCATATCTGGAAAAATACACATATACAGTGTGATGCAAATGTATGGAATAAATTCATTTCAAAACAAGACGACTTCCGAAAAAAAATCCAAAAACTAGAGTTCAGAACTTTTTTTATTGTGTATTTTTTCAACTAGACGACCCTTCGATGTTCAATTCTCAGTAGCAGACCTCTGCAAGATTCAGTTAACCAAATGATAATCCATTTTAATTGCAATATTCTTATGCAAAATTTTGACTGTTGGATAGACGATTAGTAGACGTTTCAAACGAGGTGTCACATGACCCCTGCTTGTATTTGAAAAAATCGTCCATTACGTCATTACTTCTACACCAGTGACGTAACATCTTTCATATGAATGTCATGAGATGAGGCTTCAAAAATTAAAACTCACGTACATATATATATACATTTGCATCATATACTGTATATCAAAATAGACTGGGCACTATATAGCTCGGCAGGTAGTGACAAATTTTCAGGCGTGATTTCACTCAGTAAGAACTTATGCCTTTTGGAGGTATCATCGCATCTATATATACTTTGATGTTAGAAAATGACACATGAAGAATTTCTTGGGTTCTTCATGCAGTTAAGCAACCTACTTGGACCATTGAACCTAATGTAAACAACTGGAAGAGAGACTGTCGTTTTCTCGAATTACATGACAGGTGTCAAGGGACACAGCTGCCACAAAGATAGCTTGTGTTACGTTAACCTTTCTCTTTCACACTCGTGTTGTTTAATGGAGAATCGGTTTAGGAATCTCCTTTTTCTACTCACATAACTAAAATGGCATTTAGCGTACGGATATGTACCACGCTATAAATGATCGATTAATCACGGATTGTCGATCTGTGATTTATTCAGAATATTAAACACGTTACCATGGCAACACGATTCCTTAAACACATTACCATGGCAACACAGTTCATTAAACACAACTTCAGCTATTCCAGACATGTCTGGCCTGTCAATTGTATTAACTGTCAACTGTTATTTTCAAATTTTGTATCAGAATTATTCAAACAATATTCGTTTGTATCAGAATTCTTCATTGAAAATATATGCGAAATGTAGACGAAAGTGAAATCGAAGAGAATGTTCTGGTACTTGCATATCTCCAAGAAGTGTAAAAATGAAGCATCCATCTTTGAGAACAATTCATTTATTCTGCGCTAAGCATGACAATAAACGTGAAACAAAGGTTATTAAGCACTATCACCTATATGTGTCTCGCTGGTTGCATGCAGTTGCATGTATTATGTTCTCAATTCCCATTCCTTTCGAATTATTTTGTAGGTTTAAGCAGGAATAGCAGGTATGTTAATGTTATTCTCGGAGTTCGTAGAAAAAGCATAGTATGTAACGCGTTTATGAACTCTTCTAGACACTATCGTTTATTAAACACTCGCTCCGCTTTTCTCCGCTCGTGCTTAAAATACTCGTTACTAAAAGGACGTTTATAACACTTGTTACATTAATATACTATTCATCCAACAATTGGAGCACTTGAGATCTTTTTTTTACCTAAACAGGCAAAAAAGTGAAGACAGAACTTTAGTGTTTTTTGTAATGTGAAATATCGCTAAATTTGGCGTGTTTTGTTTCTTCAAAAGGACTGAGTTTGTTGGTGTGGATTAATTGTTGTTGAAAAACTTTGTGATGGCGTATTGATAAACAATACATGGTTATACATATTGTATTGCCTCTGGATGCAAAACAAACAAGGCAAACAGAATATTGTCCATCGTGGGTAAGTTGAAAATTGATCAGATTCTCAGAAAAACTTAAGTAATTTATTTTCAGGATGTGTCTGTGGATGTGTGTGAGGATGTTCATAACTTCAATTCCAACGACAATATTTTTCATATGGACATTGATTTTCCTACAATTTCTAGCTCCCAAGTTTAATAATAATAATAATAATAATAATAATCGTCTTTATTATAGTCAACTAAAGGTTTACATGCATACGTTTTTCAGACGTTATTGATAATGAAACACAAACTGTTTCATTCGAGAAAGTATATTCTATTGCTAAGAAAAGTGAAAACACTGAAACAAAAAGTGAAAAAAAGAATTGCAATCTTAATGAGGAACTAAAAAATGTTTTGAAGGTAAAAACTACAAGTTCCAATTTTTAAACTCCAGAGTTACATCATATTATTGTCTTTTTAGGTTTACCTTTGGAGTTTCTCCTTCTTCAGAAAGGAAAAAAATGTAGGTGTACATTCTGCATGGGCGACGTAGATATTCATCTTTGATGAAATAGTTCGTCCAAACACTGTACTTTCATTCACCCCTCATATTCACATTTTATTCATCTTCCAATAGTGAAACTTTTATAGAAAAATAGAACTTAGGTACCTAATACTGTATTTTCTATCGTTTTTCTTTTTCTGATAGTGCTGAGACATTATTGAGCTCCGCACATCACCCTGTACGATATATTGTGACATACGAATGAAAATATATTATTTCAATTTTGTATCCATTTGACTTCCTGATCCTGTAAGAATAATTGAAATTTCACTTTTGATTCATTGAAAAAAAATCAATAATTTTTCAGAATAATCATTATTAATATTGCATCATTATCTCTTTTTTAAATGAATATCTATATTTAATCACGTTTACTCTTGAATAGAGATAGAAAGAGATGAAATATCCGTAACCACTGCGCGGGTTGCCTGAACAATCATTTTGCCTCGCTCGTCGTTCACAGAGGATCCCTTCCAGTTGTTCACATTGAGTTCAATACCCCAATAGTTATGACTCACCCTTTATATTCATACCATCAGCTTCATCGAGAGATTCATCAATTAAAATTCCATTGTTTGGCACCTGAAAACTACTAAATTGGACTACGCATTCTATATTGCAAAAACAAAGTTCATCAGTGTGAATAAGCTAATTTGATGGAGTCATCAGAATAAAACTTCCCCAGTCATTGAAAACCTCTACATCTTCTGGTACACTAGGAACGTATAACCGGCTTTGAATATCTGGAAAAATACGCATATTAAAATAGACTGGGCACTATAGACCGGCAGGTATTGACAGATTTTCAAGCGTGATTCCACCGAGTGGCCAGCGTAGCCTCGTGGTTGAAGCGTCAATGTTCTATCCACGTTGGATTGCCGGTAGGTGGGTTCGATTCCCACCACTACCGCAGACATTTTTCTGATGGTCTAAGAAAGTTTTTGGCATAGATAATTAATATGATGTTTGGGATCACACGTTGAAAGGTAAGAGCCCCGTCATTCTTTGCCCGCACAAGTCTCTTGTAGGAGGCAACCGAATGGATGATCCCACATAGCACATGTATGTCCAATGTACGTACAATGTACTTCGGATCATGAAGACGTCCAATGGACGTACTTGAGTGGACGTTCAATGTCCAATGAACGCCCACTGGATGTCCTGAGGATACCACTTTGGACGTCCAGTGGATATCTAAAGGCGGATTTACAATGGATGTTTATATTTGGACTCACAATGGATGTCGATATCTGAGCATCGATTGGACGTACCAAATTGGACGTTAAACGTCCAATGGACGTCCATTGGATGTCCTGTGGATACGTACAGTGGATGTTTATTCGTGGGCGTATAATGGATGCTCATCTTTGGAAATCAAATGAAGAAACAGTAGGTAGCAAATATATGTTCTTCTATTTGGATATATATATTTGGTGACGATTACATAAATATCGTTGATTCATGTCTTCTTCAGTCCACTTTGAATTCTTGTTTCTGTAAGAAAAAAAATATTTTTAGTTGCTATATAGGTAGAAGTTGATTGTCCATACCCCAAATCCTGTTCAGCCGCCCATTGAAAATAAATAACAACCTGTAGGATGAGAAAGCATAAGGTAATAACTGATAACTATATTAGATATATGAAGTCACATTCGAACATGCATGCTTTCATACCTACTTCGAATGATCTGGTACTAAACATTCTGCATTCCACAATTCATCACAAACACAACACGTCATGTTCACGGTCATTTACTAACTGGAAATGGCTTCAGCATCACCGCTTGTCTACACAAGAGTCTCGAGATCATACCCGTGTGTTCACCGAACCCGCCCGATCGTTACCTAAGCGGTGGGGAGACCGAGACGTAAGCAGGCAGCCTACAATGAGTGGGCAGGCAGCTTCTCTCATGCTGTCTCTGTTTTTGCAGTACGGGGTGGGCCACCAACAGTGTTCTTGATCACATTTCAACATTTTTTTTTCGAATAAATAAGAAACATTTGATAGGCATCAAGTGATATACTGCGACCTATCAGATAATGAAAGCGATGATTTGATTTGCAATAATTCGCTATCTCACGACGAGTCCTACATGTAAATAGCGAACCACTCATCGAAAATCATGAAACTATATAATATGTACATATTATATGTTTTGTTGGCGAGGACGCTTGTTTTATTCAAATTATTTTCGATAATGTTCATCTGCTTCACTAGAAATTATTATATTAACAGTTAGTAGTAGTAGTAGTGTAGTAGTTGCAGGTTGCAGCTTTGTTATTCAAAATGGAACACCTTTATATTTCATTACATTTTTCGATTCTTCTAATTGAGCTATGATTTCGTTGATCAAGCTCAAGGTATACATATAAGTAGAATGTGAAAAATCGAGATTTTTTTTGTATCGAAACTATACAATACCTACCTATATATTGATTTGTCAAAATGGCTTACATGTATCCCTATCCTAACATTTTATTTACTATCTACTGATGCCATTTAATTGAAACAAATACAGGGTGGATCAGATTTCAGAATTATATAAAAGAAGTATACTAGTATGCATACTAAAAAAATATATATATTCGAAATAAACAAAACAAATATATCACATAAAAAACACACTCTAATATTCAACATAAAATAAAATTCAACCCCACTGGATGTATTAAAAAATATAAACAGAGTGTGCACGTCACTTCTAATGGAATCAACCCGTATATCTAATGTAACTGTTCAATTTTCAGGAACGATAGATATATATACCAAGTATGACCAAAGTGAGGTAATCTTCAGTGAAATACACTGCTGGACCCACCAACATTTCCGGAAAATGATATTAGGAGGCAAGATAGGTTGAAAATCACTTCGGATTCGAAATCAGGACGTAACCCTGTACCACAGATTAACAAGCCTTAACGAAGCAAGTTTAGGACACATGTTTATATATATGACCTCTATTCTCACAAGAAATCACCCCTTGAATTATTTCGGTGTTATTTAGATACACCCTGTATAGATCATTCTTCATCCCAATCACCGAACATAAACAGATGTTTATGTTCGGTGTCCCAATATAGTTATTCAACATTTTTCCCATAGCGAAGTTCAGCAAATACCGATGGCGAGAGCACTATATATGTTTATTGATTTGATGTCTACCTATAATATATGTAAAACAAGAAGTCACAACTACTAGTGTTCCGTTTATTGACAAATTTGACTCCAAAATAAGTCTGGCACGCGCCAATATTAGAGAGTTGAAGTAGGTAATCACTGTACGTAGACCTCCACGTCGACGTTAACGTACGCAAAATAACATTTACGTATTGTCGTTAAATTGAGTTGAAGTTGCCACTTTGGTCGTCACTGTCATCATAACGTAATAATACATTTTGTTTTCGGTTTGTATTGGTCATTTTTGGTTGTGTGTTTAGATTCGAACATTTATTCCTGTCAAAATTAGAGGACTCCTTGATGCAGAACTCGTTGGTGATCTCGAATTTGATAATTTTGACTCATCGGCATATTTCGAGTATAGTTTGGTTAACGTACGTTGATATTTAAGGTATACGTGAAGGAACATGAGATAACGTATACCCGTCCACTAACAACGCAAACGTGAAGAATTGGAAAATGCGCATGCGTAGCTGTCAATTTCTACGTTTACGTTAACGTTCATGACAGCACTTCAACTCTCTATTCATAACGTAGTTACTGCTGCCTGTTTACACATCTCCCCACCGCTTAGGTAACGATCGGGCGTGTTCGGTGAACACACGGGTATGATCTCGAGACTCTAGTCTTGTCTACCGACCGATCTGACCTTCTGCCTCCCCTCCACGTGGCTGAAAAATCAATATTCTTACCTCCATCTCTGAACGTACAACGGACGTTCATTCAACGTCCATGAACCTTCAGAATTAAAATGATTTCAATTAGATATTCACTTTGAACAATTCTTCATATACTTACTCATAATTAATGTTCATTCTTCATCCATGAATTCTTAGACTCAGAATGGCCGTTAAATGGACGCCCAATAATGTATACGTCCGTCTCTGTAAGTACAATGGCTGTTGATCAAATGTCCATGAGAGTTTTAGTCCGTGAGATGACGGATGTTCAATGGTTGTTCATTTTGGAACATACATTGTACATCCATCTTCATACGTACAATGAATGAACATTCTACGTACATGGGTGATTGGACATTGAGTGGACGTTCACTGTACATACAATTCAGAGCCTCCAATGATAATCCATGTTTGTACGTACATTGGATGTCCATTCAATGTCCATGGACGTTTGGAATTGAGCTGGACCTAAAATGGACGTCTAATGGATGTCATGTGCTGTGTGGGATGGATGAGAACAATTTTAGAACAATTTTTAGTAAGTATTAATATAAAGGATGTATGACACCTGTTGAATTTGATGACGAATACGATAACAAAAATGATAACAACAATATACTTTCTTTCTGCCATACAGTATAAATATTTATAATATCAAAATTTTTAGAACCAGCCCTGTATTTTCACAAGAATGTTTGCAAATCTTCGCAAAATCATCACCTTTTTCACCTTATGACACATAAAACATATTTTTGTCAACATATTCGACATCGAATTCAACAGGTGTCATACAGCTTTAAGAAAGAGAAATATCATTTTTGCATATGAGGAGACTACTCAAAACAATCTAACCTAACTTGGCCTTAATAAAACTCCTTCCTAGAACGTATATTTTTCATCGATATGATTTGGCAACGAGGCAATCGTTGGTGTGAGTTTGAGGATTGTGGATGAATCAAAATATGTGCCTGGAGGAAGGTGAGTGAATTGAAATGTGGGCAAATGGAAATGTGATTGAATCGAAATTTGGGCCTAACGAGATGTTCCTATCTCTGTAGGTATTGGTCAAATAGTACCTGGTAGTATCTATTTCGATCGAAAATATCTGCAATTGGATTTTTTGTTCACTATACAGGGTGGGTCACGGTCGATGGCACCTTAGACGTTTACGGAGAACGGGACATAAGATCATTCTGAAAATTTGGTTACTCAAGTAATTGCTCTTGATCTATCGATCTAAAATATTTTCAGCTCTGCGGCGTTGCCGCTTCTATCGAAAAGTAGCAACAACTTTGTTATTTTAAATGGAACACCCTGTATTTCATCGCATTTTCAGATTCTCTCTGAAGAGCTGATTTCATCGATGTATCACACTTGGGGTCTAGCGGAAATGATTACAGAGATATAGGGTATGAAAAATCGACATTTTTCAACTTTAGGAATTTTTTTTGTCGAAACTATTCATTATTGGTCAAAACGGCTCACATGTTCCTATCCCAACTTTTGATCAACTATCTACTGACATTTAATTGAAACAAATACAGGGTGGTGCAGAATTCAGATTCTTGATCACCCGGTATATGTCCCAATTAAATATCAGTAGATAGTTAATCAAAAGTTGAGATAGGGACATGTAAGCCGTTTTGACCAATAATGAATAGTTTCGACAAAAAAAATTCCTCAAGTTGAAAAATGTCGATTTTTCACACCCTATATCTCTGTAATCATTTCCGCTAGATCCCAAGTGTGATATATCGATGAAATCAGCTCTTCAGAGAGAATCTGAAGATGCAATAAAATACAGGGTGTTCCATTTAAAATAACAAAGTTGTTGCTACTTTTCGATAGAAGCGGCAACGCCGCAGAGCTGAAAATATTTTAGATCGATAGATCAAGAGCAATTACTTGAGTAACCAAATTTTCAGAATGATCTTATGTTCCGTTCTCCGTAAACGTCTAAGCAGGTGCCATCTACCGTGACCCACCCTGTATATCCTTCGCGGTACATCGTTACTTCGTAAATGATAGTCCATCAGAATGGCTCTGTCCTTGCCACGCGAATGATTGTGACATTAAATGTTTTTTTTAAAGCAATATACAAAGTGTGCGATTTCAACCCGCCACACCCTCTTAATTCGGAACCCGTCGACCGATTTTCAGAAACAAAAATTCCATAATATACTACTCAACGAGGTCACAAATTTGAAATATTCACATTTTAAAGGCCTACTTTTGTTTGTTGAAGGGGTTAAAATTCCAAAAATGACTATTAGGCAATTTTTTTTCGAAACTGACTTTTCCTAATCGATTCAAGCATAGCTGAAATACCTCCATACGAAATTTGAACGCAAACTCTCATATAGGGTGTTAGTTATTCAATGGCAAATTTTGATATTTTCGATTTTTCGATTCACCCTGTATCAAAATCTGAGAAGTTGATATAACCGGTGAAGTAGTTATACAATAGAGGAACACATATAATACAAAGGTACGAAGTTTCATCGCTGTAACTCCTACAGGAAGATCTCTCTATAATAGATCAACCAAAAATCAATAAAACGAGTTGAGATTCATCATTCTGAAAACTCAAGTGAACCGTATTTCACACACCACACAGTCACTTTGAAAATCGTTTTGTTTGATAAAGAGCTGTCGAACCCTGATAACACACTAATGTCCCATGGATATCCTTAGGACGTCCTGTCGGTACATTCAGGACGTTCAAATTTGGTACCGTGAACGTCCATTGGACGTCTGAGGGACGCACAAATGTCCCACTTGAGGACCAAGTAGGGACGTCCTTGAGGGATGTCCCTGGGACAACTATCGAATACCTAAATCCTACACTATTCGTCATCAAGCACTACAGAGGACATCCATTGGACAACCTATCAGCAACGCTGAGGGATATCAATTGGATGTCCATAGGATGTCCCAGGGACGTATGGATCATTCTTGAATTTGACTTCTTCTGGGTCCCTCTAGGACCAGATGCTGCATAACTGATTAGGACATCCAGTTGAGTTGGTGGTCCGTAGAAGGTCCCCAAAAAGTTTCCAAAGGATGTCCAATGGACTAACGTGAAGGACATTGACCAGGAGTACTTATAGCCTACGAGCAATCATTCGTCGGCGAGGTGTAAGTTAACGTCCTCGCAGGGACAACATATTGAAAGTACCGACTGAGACGTCCATAGGACGTTATTTCTAAGCGACATTTCGATTGTAATACGATCCTAGAAATATTAAGGGCGTCTGTTCAGAGATATTTGAAGGAATGTACCATCAGGGACATTTCATGGTTGTCTAGAAGGAACATTATATAAGCTCTGAAGTCATGCCAGAATATATGTACTACTCGGGAAATCTGATGGATGTCCTTGAAGGAACGTTTAAAATCATATCCCATCAGGAACATGCCAAGGACGTCCTTGCATGGACATTCTACAATATGTACCACGTGGGACGTCTAAGGGATGCTATTTCTAGGACATTTGAAATGATGTACCAGCTGGGACATTCCGTGGACGTCCTTGCTCGGACATTGCATGAGATGTACGGGATGGGGCGTCTCAAGGTCACTTATTTTTGGTTCTGGACATTCGGACGTCAATTGTAACGAATAGGGACGTCCCTTGGACGTTGTGTGCTATTAGGGAATATAACACAAATAGAATGACAGACAAATACTCTCTATTCTAAAGACTGCTAGGAGATATACCGATGTTTGATGTGATCATAATAATATACCGATTTTGGCGAAATGGAATGAAAAAGGGAAATGGGAAATTTTAATGTATAGAGAATATTTTCCCGAAGTGGTCAACATTTTCTATATTTCCTAGGAAAACGTTATGGATCAACATAAAAAAAATTTCGATTTCAATTTCACTAATTATTATTGCTTGACCTAGAGAGATCTTAGAAGTTACACCGATGAAACTTCGTACCCATGTATTCGATGTGTTCCTCTATTGAATAACTACTTCACTGATTATATCAACTCCGTAGATTTTGATACAGGGTGAATCGAAAACTCAAAAATATCAAAATTCGCCATTGAATAACTAAAACCCTATATGAGATTCTGCGTTCAAATTTCGTATAGGGTTATTTCAGCTATGCCTGAATCGAATTGCCCTAATAACACACCTATGTCCCATGGATATCCTTAGGACGTCCTGTCAGGACATTCAGGACGTCTATAGGACGTTCGAATTTGGTACCGTGGACGTCCATTGGACGTCTGTGGGAAGCACGAATGTCCGACTTGGGGACCAACTTGGGACGTCCTTGAGGGATGTCCCTGGGACAACTATCGAATACCTAAATCCTACAGTATTCCTCATCAAGCACTACAGAGGACATTCTTAGGACATACATAGGACATCCTATCAGCAATGCTGAGAGATATCAATTGGAAGTCCATTGGATGCCCCAGGGACGTACGAATTATTCTTGAATTTGAATTTTTCTGGGTCCCCCTAGGACCAGATCTTGCATAACTGATTAGGACATCCAGTTGAGTTGATGGTCCGTAGAAGGTCCCCAAAAAATATTCCCAAGGATGTCCAATGGACTTACATGAAGGACATTGACGAGGAGTACTCATAGCCTACAAGCAATCATTCGTCGGCGGGGTGTAAGTTAACGTCCTCGTAGGGACAACATATTGAAAGTACCGACTGAGACGTCCATTGGACGATATTTCTAGGACATTGGAAGAGTACAGTTCATGTACCAATTAGGACATCCGACGGATATCCCTAAGGGACATTGGAAGGATATATCCCATCAGGGACATCCCAAGGACGTCCTTGCATGGACATTCTACACTATGTACCACGTGGGACGTCTAAGGGATGCTATTTCTAGGACATTTGAAATGATGTACCAGCTGGGACGTTCCGTGGACGTCCTTGCTCGGACATTGCATGAGATGTACGGGATGGGACGTCCCAAGGACACTTGTTTTTGGTTCGGGACATTCGGACGTGAATTGTATCAAATATTGACGTCCCTAGGACGTTGTGTGCTATTAGGGAGGCTAGTCACTTTTTCGAAAAAACTTGCCTAATATTGACCCTTTCAACAAACAAAAGTAGGCATTAAAAATCTGAATACTTCAAATTTGTCCACATTCTCGAATAGAGCTCGTTGAGTGCTATATTATGGAATTTTTGGTTTTGAAAATCGGTTGACGGGTTCCAAATTAGGTGGGTGTTGCGGCTTGAAATCGCACACACTGTATATGTCTGCTGTTTCCATATTGGATCAAAATCGCACCAGCAATCCATTTTTGACGATTTGGGCGCTATTTCGTCGCATTTCCAAAAGCCTTATTATACTCAATGCTAAAAAACAGAGTGCTGTTTAATGGGCTTGTATTACAAGAGATTTTTATTTCATAATTCGATAGAACTCACCCAAACTAGCTCACCACCGCAAACCGTTTCTTGCTGTGAGCTCCCTACGTTTTATAAAAAATTATTGAAATCCCCGATTTTTCGGACCTCTGAAAACGAGGCGATGATGTGACGTCAAAACCCTAATACTGAAACAAGACTATTCCAGACAGAGATGAATGATTCATGATTTCTGACAGAGTGAATAAGCGCGAAATCACAGTTGAAAGAATAATATATCAGTTCCCTCAGTCCTCCGTCGGGCGTTTAGTATTTTAGATGAGATTTCTACGTCATAAGAGGGCCCGTTTTCAGAAGGAACTATTATTTATGTCCAAAAATAAAACATCCCAGTTATTTTTCCGATCGAATTATGTCGTCAATTATTATTTATGTAAAAAAGGATCATTATGAACATATGGTTTGAGTTGAAAGTTCTACAAAGGTGTACACGCCCATTCCGCGTCATTTTGACCCTCTGTGAAATGTCCGAGCGCTATTTTTTCCCACGATATTTTGTCGCTCGCTATTTTTTCCAGCGCTGCTTGATAACATCAAAGCCTTTCAAAAGGCATACTGGGTGAAATGGTGAAATCACATCCGAAAATCTGTCACTACTTGCCGGTCTACTACATTCCATATTTCAGACTGACGTTCACAATCAGTTCATTGTCGATCACTCGAAAATCGCCGATGGAAAGTACAAGTGGTCTTTGCACTCTGGCCATCACAATCGAAAGACTTCTTACCACTTCAGAACATTGATCGTACCATTTAGCCTGGAATATTCTCAGGCTCAAATTTGTGCTCTGAAAATGCAAAAACAATTCAAATATCCCAGTTGACCGAAACCACTGACAAAAATACTATCTCTAGACCGCAAAGTATACAGTGCTCTGCTTTAATGCCCCTTCTTTCATTTTTTGACCAGATCTACTGAATCGAAATTGACAAATGAAAATTTCAAGATGGTGACTGGGTGCCATCTGGGAAGGAATCAAATGGAATCTCATTGTGATACATTATTTTGAAGCTCCTGTTGAATACTTCACAACCCTAGAATATGAAGTCAATATCTTCACCTACTACAGGAACATTTGATAGTTGCCTGGATACATCGACGTTCACTTCATAATTTGGGGAAATAAGCTGATTTAAGTTCAGATGATGCTCGAATTGGGTGGCGGAAATTTGATCGAAAGACAAATGATAGAAAAACATTCGATAGAAGTCTTTTGATCGAAAATCAAAAAATAGAAAGAACTTTTCACCGAAAATACATTTGATCGAATGTTCCATGATAGAAAATACATTTGATAGAAACATAAATGAAAGAAAATACAAATGATAGAAAAAATATTTGATAGAAAATACACTTGATAGAAACAGCATTTGATAGAAAATTCAATGGGGCTACGCTCAAGTTAGGTCAGTTCGTTTGTGAAGATATGATCCTTCCTCATATATTTGAGAAGAAGGATCTAGAAGTTTGTGGTATCAATGAATTCATAAACTTCGATTTCCATCTAGCTCCTTCTCAAATATATGAAGAAGGATCATATCTTCACAAACGTACTGACCTAACTTGAGCATAGCCCTGTTGAATTTTCTATCAAGTGCTGTTTCTATCGAGTGTATTTTCTATCAAATATTTTTTCTATCAATAGTATTTTCTATCATTTATGTTTCTATCAAATGTATTTTCTATCATGAAACATTCGATCGAATGCCTTTCTATCAAAAACACTTTCGATCAAAAGACTTCTATCAAATGTTTTTTTATCATTTGTCTTTCGATCAAATTTCCGCAGGGTCTTGACATAAGAACAGCGATATTTTACGCCGAACACTTCCGAACACAAATATGTTTCATTCTTTGTCGTATACCGGGTGTCCCAGTATACCTGTTCCAATGGATTATCTCAGTCATTTCGAAAGTATCAAATTTGAAAATTTCATGATCTTCAATTCGTTCAAGGAACCTTCAACTGAGAAAAACGAAAATTGAAAGTCACTTCCGGTTTGACCGGAAGTGACTCTAACTTCTTCATTTCAAATAGCACCCTGTATATTTTTTGCAATTTTTGCTTTCTACTCAAAATTACCTTCCCAACGATGTATCACACTTTCGCATTTTACAATTGATTTGATAGAGAAAACGAAAATTGAAATTTGAGATCGAAAGAATTGCAGTAAGATGATTCATGAACAAATTTGCATTCGAGATGATAAAGAGAACGTCAAATTTCAAAATATTGTAGAAATATGTAGTAGAAGAATTCATAATTCTTAAATGAGAACCTTAGTGTGCCATGGAAACATTTAAATACATTTGTTAGTATCTTTGACAGTTTATAATTCTCAATGGTTGTGTGCGACATTCAAGAATGAATAACCGTGAGAATGATATGATAACTTCACTATTCAAGAGAAATTGGATATGATACTGATTTTAATTCCAAATTTCAATTTGTCGTTTTCTTCATCATATCAAATGTAAAATACAAAGTGTGATACATCGTTGGAAAGGCAATTTTGAGTAGAAAGCAGGAATTGCAAAAAATATACAGGGTGCTATTTGAAATAAAAAAGTTAGAGTCACTTCCGGTCAAACCGGAAGTGACTTTCAATTTTAGTTTTTCTCAGTTGAAGGTTCCTTGCACGAATTGGAGATCATGAAATTTTCAAATTTGTTACTTTCGAAATGACTGAGATAATCCATTGGAACAGGTATACTGGGACACCCGGTATATCCAATATTGAATCAGATGCAGTTTGGTACACATTTTGCTTCAGATGGCCCAATAAAATTAGGTCTAAAGGTGTCAAATCTCTCGAGCTGTCCATTCCGTAGGACCTCGACGGCCAATATCTAACGACCGGGGAAAGTATTATCCGAATGTTTCTGACTTGTCTGGAGTTATGTGGTGCTCACACTACAAGTATTCTAATCCACATGTTGAGTTTCACAATGCTCCATCAGATATTATCTTTAGATTAGGGCGAAATGTTCTCGGAAGTATTGCAGCTCTGCCACTAACGTAGATCAGTTTGAATCGCAGCACGTTTGGATATTCGCAAAGGTGACATCATCCCCTTCTATTCGCTTCTTGTTTCAACTCGTTCACACTTGACGAAAGTATGTCCGGAATAATAGCAGCAAATGAATCGCTGTATTGTGCATGAAGCTCAGACTGAGGAGTGACACAGTTAGGTTTTTGAAATCTACCATCCAATTAGTATTGGATGGCATAATTCTTATCTTGTTATCAAATCGCGAAATCGAGTGCAAATCTCCACACAGGAAAGTGCGATTTTTCAATCGTTCTGCTCAGGATGTAGTCCAGTCATTATATCCAAATAACGGACCTTACCCGTGAATAATTTTTTTGTGTTTTTTTTCCATAGGTGTCTCGGGGGGGTCACTGGGAGTGTGAATTCAAAATGGCGACCAAATCAAGCTTTTGCGTTTGTTCGAAAACTGTTTTTTTGTTAAAGAACGGTTTTTCTTGAATAACTCGGCCATTTTTGATTATACAGAAAAAGTTTGGGCACAAAAATTGTAGTAAATTTGGTTTTCTACAAGTTTGGTCCCCACAATTTTTCTGATAGGATCGATATTTTGTAAATTAAACCTGAAAAAAGCGACAAATTCGAAATATTTTCATTGTCTCGTTTATTTTCAACTTTACGGCATAAATGAACAGAAACAAACTTGTAGAGAATCAAATTTTGGACAAATTTTGTTTCTTCCTGTTTTTACGAAAATCGATATTTTCGGAATTAAACCTAAAAAAAACGACTCATTCGAAATATCATCATTATCTCGTTTATTCTCAACTTTACACCATAAATAAGAGGAAACAAACTTGTAGAGAATCAGATTTTGGACAAATTTGGTCTCCACCTGTTTTTCCGAAAATCGATATTTTCGGAATTTAACCAGAAAATATGTACCCAAATGCACGAAAAATTGCGGAGGAATGTGTGGGTGTCGTAAGGCAGGACTGAAATGTTCTTATGTCTTATGCCACAACTGCGCTGGGCAGACTTGCGATAACGTCACACAATTGATTGTCGAATACGAATACAGTGATGATAACAACGACATCGACGATCCCGTACCATTAACACTGAACCTTAACGAACGTGAAACTGGACAATACCAATTGACCGAAGAAGAAAGAGAGGATATGGATTTGGCAGGACCATCAGCTAAGAAACCCAAAAAAAAATAGTTCCGGAACCATATTTTCACACCGACATGACAGACAAGCTACCTGCGCCGAATACCTCTTCATTTATGCCGTAAAATGCGGAGCATTGGAGATAATGATAATCTTTTGAATTTGTCGCTTTTTTCAGGTTTAATTCCCAAAATATCGATTTTTGGAACAAAAACGTGGTGACCAAAATTGTTTAGAATTTGATTCTCCACAAGTTTAGTCCTCTTCATTTATGCCGTAAAGTTGAAAATAAACGAGATGATGACAATATTTCGAATTTGTCGCTTTTTTCAGGTTTAATTCACAAAATATCGATCCTATCCGAAAAATTGTAGAGACCAAACTTGTAGAGAACCAAATTTACTACAATTTTTGTCCCCAAACTTTTCCTGTAGAATCAAAAATGGCCAAGTTATTCAAGAAAAACGTTTTTTAACGAAAAAACCCGTTTTCGAACATACGCAAAAGCTTGATTTGGTCGCCAATTTGAATATACACTCCCAGTGACACCCCCGAGACACCTATGAAAAAAAAAAACACAAAAAAATTAGTCACGGGTCAAAGTCTATAATGACTGGACATCGCAACATCGTAGTAGCCGTTGAAATATTTTCTCCATTTGCCGCCTTCCATTTATGGAGATTCATGCACTCGAATTTAATTCTGACATCACTCATTATACTGTCATAGCTGATGAACTCACAATTGTCAGTTTTTCGTTAAAATTTTCAAACGATTCTGTTTTCTACTTCGTGATTGTCGTGTTGAAAAGAGGGATGGCTTATTCCTCGGAGGTGAATACATTTACCTACTGTAATGTCTTATTGTCGATATGGCACATTCATCAATGGTGGATGGAGTTACTCGATAGTAGCCTGCAAGGATGAGTACGTGGCGAAATATCCTAATGCTCAGATTCAAGAATCTTCTTTAAAAGCCCACATCAGAAACTGGAAACGTTAATGAAAATAAATCAACAGGAAGGCCCCAAACATCGGAAGAAGTTGTCAAAAATCTAAGGGCGCGTGTTGAGCAAAATCCCCAAACGTCATCTTCACAATCTGGTGTGCCACTAAGTTCATGCCATAAAGTGCTCAAGAAAAGATTGCATATGCAGCCTCACAAGACCAGTGTACTACAGCAACTTCTGCCAATAGATATCCCACGTCGTCTGGAGTACTGCCAATGGTTCCAAAATAATCTCAACGATGACCAGCTATTGGAACATTTTTCAGCGATGAGAGTGCGTTTCATTCGTCGGGATACGTGAACTCACAAAATGTTAGATTTTGGAGATCTGAGAATCCCCATTTCATTGAGACTCCACTACATTCTAAAAAAATTGGGGGTGTGGTTAGCAGTTTCTCGTAGGCGAATATATGGACCGATTTTCTTCGATGGCACTATCAATGGGGACAGGTACAGACAAGTGATGTTAGAACCATTCACCAATCAACTTGAGGATGAAGGAGTTCGAGTTGGCTATTCTCAGCAAGATGGGGCCACTGCCCACACCACACGTGCAAATTCAGAATATTTACAAGAATTTTATGACAACCGTGTGATAAGTCGAGGAGTTAATCCTTCTTCTCCAACACGTTCTCCAGATTTGACGACTTTGAATTCCTCCCTTTTTGAATATTGAAAGACGAAGTATTCAAGAGAGCGACAATAATAACCTTGAAGAGCTGCAAGCCTCAATAACACATTGCTGCCAAGCCAATGGCCCGGAAATGCTGAGGAACAATTCGACAACAAACGGCGAAGAGTTTTGAAATGCTTGGAGAACAACGTAGATCATTTTGAACATTTGATGTAGGTTGATGAAATGAACCGTTATTTATTACTCCTTTAATAAATATTGGACTCTCCTTTTTATGAGATACATTTCCATAGTGTATGCAAAACGATATAAAAAAAAGATCCTGTATATGATCACTTCCTCTCTTTTTGGTCGTTAAATGTTGTTAACAGCATTAATAGTAAGCGGAAAATGGAAAAAAATTTCAACAGCCACTACGATGTTACGATCATTTATAGAGACCCTGTACCATTTCGTTATCAGATGACTGTCGAAATTAGAAAGCCGGCTCATGGATTATCAATAAAGTGATATCATTGAAAAGAGTTAGTCATACTATTCATTAAAATCCAAGAAACACACTCGTTTCTTGACCAATAATTTCTGAATAAACACTCATTCCTGAGTTCTTTTGTATAGTAATTATAGACAAATATGTTGTTTTAACAAGGAATTAATCATTTTTTCAAGTCTTGAAGAGGAAGCATTCAAAAAATCTATTCGTTCCCATAATTTGTATTCCTTACCAAATAATCGAAATGTTATCTTGAGAACTAACAGCATCCCTATCAGCAATGATATGCTAATTATTGACCTCAAAATAATTACGGAAAATTGATAAACTCCTAATAAGAAACTGAAAATAAGGTTTTTGATTGAATAAATGTCTGATTATATTAACTGATTCTTGACATTTTGACTCGATCATATCACAATGAGAGAATTTTTATTTGCTTCTTGTTTCAACTCGTTAACCTGTGGCGGAAGCATGTCCGGAATAATGACTTATCTCTTATCGCGAAATCGAGTGCAAATTTCCGCTCAGAAAAGTGCAATTTTTCAATCATTCTGCTCAGGATAGTGATTGGTACAGGTGCCGTTCGATAATCTACAATGGCTTTGGGTGTATGATAAATTGACATTCATCATAGAGGGCGTGGAAAGAAATTCTGAATTGAGACTCTATCACGAATCTGCGATTAGAGTTCTATAAAAATCACAAGTTTCCATCGTTCAAATTTGAACCTTCTGATTGGGTATGAACATGTTGAAAAGGAATATTCTCAGATTAATTATGAACATACAAAAATGGATATATATTTATATAAAGCAATACATTTAGAATTCGCATTCTCTATGTGATGGGAATATCTACTCTTTTTCAGTTTATTCAACAGAAAACAATTACTTTCCTGGCTATATGCCACGACGAACATTGAATTATATCCATTGAACACATACGATAAGAGTTTGAAAATGAAATATGAAATCTTCTGAAATTGATAATTTGCATTCTCCTTCAGACAAGAATATGTATATGCACACATCATTCTGAATATTCAACAGAAAACAACTACTTTCCTGGCTATTTGCCTCGTCGAACATTGAATTATATCTGATGAACATTCAAAAGGAGAACATGAAAAATAAAGAATAAAATCCTCCGAAATTGAGAATTGACATTCTTCTTCAAATCGGATGAATAATATGATGTATAATGATATAGAAATATAACTTACAGATGAAAATTGTGTAGGTATATCATGAAGAATGGCTGTAAGAATAAGTGGACATCATGGTTACTGATGAGGATTCAGAAATCCGAAATGGTTTCATTGCAATAAAGTCATATAACCTGAGTGTTAGAGATAATATTTCCCATATCACTGATATGAATGATTATTTTTGGAAGTTTTCAAGCTCATCAAGATCAGAGTTTATGCCAGTATACTTCTGCTATACATTCCAATTTTCATTTCAATGCTGAATATATTGGTAAGTTATATTTCTATATCATTACACATCATTTTATTCATCCGATTTGAAGAAGAATGTCAATTCTCAATCTCGGAAGATTTTATTCTTTATTTTTCATGTTCTCCTTTTGGATGTTCATCAGATATAATTCAATGTTCGACGTGGCAAATAGCCAGGAAAGTAGTTGTTTTCTGTTGAATATTCGAAATGATGTATGTATATATATATTTTGTCTGAAGGAGAATGCAAATTCTAAATTTCAGAAGATTTTATATTTTATTTTCAAACTCTTATCGTCTGTGTTCAATAGATATAATGCAATGTTCGTCGTGGCATATAGCCAGGGAAGTAGATGTTTTCTATTGAATAAACTGTTGATATTCTCATCACATAGAGAATGTGAATTCTCAATGTATTGCTTTATATAAATATATATCCATTTTTGTATGTTCATAATTTATCTGAGAACATTCCTTTTCAATCTACAATGGCTCTACATGCCTTTGGGACATATAATATCATTTCGTTATCAAAATTTGCAGTCGGCTCTTGGACTATGAGTTTCAAATGAGCCTACATCTTTCTGATCGTAACATTTCTGTTATGAAACATGGCACATTTTGAATGCATCAGTGATGAACCAGTAATACTTACTTTCAGTGATAACTCATTGGCATTATAGTAAACCATCATGACTTGAATCAGTAGCCCTATCAGAATGAACATGAAAAAAACAATTTCTCCCTTACTGGTTGCGTGTATCACCTGTAATTCGACAAAAAATTCATTTGATTAGATCCGAGAATTTCTGCGAATGTTAAACTCACGTTCACAAGCGATACTGTTATTTGATATGATTTGACCAAGAATTCTCCAAATAAGTACCATTTCAAGGATTTTTTGACATCTTCAACGTATCTGGAAATCAAGAAATCGGGTAGTTTCCACGCAATATTTTCATAATTTTTCACACTACGCATTCATCTGTAGATATACCTACTAACTTAAACTTCAATGTTGATTTGACGAAACAGCTAATTTCTATTGAAAAATTTCAAAAAAATTTCGAGAGAAAGAATGCCCCTGAACAGAATATTTTCAGATATTTTATGAACATGAAAACACATATACAGGGTGAGTCATAACTATTGGGACATAGGCTAAGGGCGGATTGTTTGGATCAAAATATGGCGATTGGAACAAACATGCCTTGATAAAATATTGCTGTGAAAAGAGATACGGGTGTTAAAGTTGATTTTTTTCATTTTTTGTCGGTTTTTTGCTAATAATTTCACTGTATATGAAATATTTTTGAAAAAGTTTCGTGATTTGGTTGCTTTCTACGAAAGCGTCTAGGGGTCACACAATTAAAATATTTTTTTTCAATACATTGGAAGAAAAATCTAATATATTAAAAAAAAATCCGATATATCGAAAAAAAAATCCAATATATTGAAAAAAAATCTGATCTATTGAGAAGAAAATCCAAAGTATTGAAAAAAAATCCAATATATTGAAAAAAAATCCAATATATTGGATTTTTCTTCATTATTCAAATCCAGGAAAAGTGAGTAGTGAGTGATGAATGTGCCAAGCTGCTTGTTGTGCTAGAGTACATTATAGTAGTGCTCTGCTCGCTTTGACTGATCATATTATTATCACGACTCAATACGGAAATGGACAATGATGGAGATTTACTAAACGTCTCAAGAAATCATACTGATTTTAAAATAAAGGATTATTTTCTGAGTGGCATGCATTATGAAGAAATACTAGCCTTTCTGTATTTGAGACATAATATGGTATGGATTTTTTTTTCAACATATTGAATCTATTTTTCGATATGTTGGAGTTTTTTTCGATATATTGGATTTTTTTTCAATATATTGAATTTTTTTTTTAATATTATTATATTGAATTTTTTTTCCAATATGTTGGATTTTTTTTCAATATATTGGATTTTTTTTTCAATATATTGGATTTTTTTCCAACATATTGCATTTTTTTTCCAATATATTGAAGAACAAATTATTTATTTTAAATGTGTGACCCCTAGACGCTTTCGTAGCTTTCTGTCTAGATATTAGAGATATTACAATTCATACCTTCTGGTTGCATCCCGCATTTATTCATTCCTAAAATGATTGTGACGAGGCATTTCAATCGAACAAATTTTGACTAAACTATCATTCTCTGATAAGAAATGCCATTACAAGCAACATCATCTGACAAATCAAAGCACACTCTTCATGAATGAAATAATATTTGTAATTAACTTCTGAGACTCTGAACTATTCAATAGCGTTTTTCTCGAAAACTGATGAAAATATCGTCTTCAAACAAAGCTACCAATATTACGTAGAAATGATGTTTAGGTCATATTTTTCAATCAAAATCACTCAAAAGTTTCGTCAAAAAAAGTAACCAGGCGATTTTATCATCAGGCCTGGCGTGGCGCCCCCTGTATCAAAATGTATAATATTCGCTGTATGGAATTATGCCTCTGTGCCAATTTTGATAACAATTGATGAATATACAGTGAAGTTATTGGTAAAAAACGAAAATAAAAAGTCAACTTCAACGCCCTGTATCTTTTTCCACAGCAATATTCTATATATGAAGGCATATTTAGGCCTATCGCCATATTTTGGTCCAAACAATCCGACCTTAGCTCATGTCCCAATAGTTATGACTCACCCTGTATAGTGTCCATTTAGTGCGTAATTCTTCGATATCTAGAAAGCCATAACCTATAGAGAAAAACTTTGAAGCAAAAGCTTTGAATTTGCTTATTCCACAAATATTTTCAACATTACTGGGAGTTTTATAAAAGCGGGACGACTAGGAAATGAGGTTTTTCAAATGGAACACCCAGTATTGGAATCTATTTCGCCAAGGTTCACCTTCACATCGATAAATCCATTTTTACCACTATTGAAGAGTCATGATGAAAAGGGCCATGATATACTCATTTAATAAAATATTGAAAATATTTTCGGCATACGGTAGTAGCAAGGTCTCACGCATATATTGCATTTAGAATCTTGCAAGACTCAGATGACATTCATTAGAATTTTTCAAATGGAACACCCTCCATTTTTATTCAAAAATTCATTCCGACATCTTTTGCCTTAATTTCCTCATTTTCACTACTATTTCGGGGTAATGTGTACGTCATAGTTCTATCATTTATTTGTATTGTGGAAATATTGCGTTGCTACGGTATAATCAAATTTCTTCACTGACCATTCATATATTTTTTTACACTAAGGACATTTACAGGATTACCAAGTTTTAATTTAAAAACAGAGTGGGTTTAGACAAATTGTTCCAAAATGCTACTTTCACAGATTTTTTGCAGGGTATGGAATAATTTTTTGAAATACACTTCCATTATTTGTGTAATGACCTGTCAAACATCGCTACAAATGAAAATATCTTGAATTCATTTGAAATTTTGTTGAATTCCCTCCCGAAACCCGCCTAATAAAAGAATAATGCTTCTATCATTATGTAGAGTTTGCCCCGCACGAAAACACGGGAAATTGGCTCTCGGTCGAATTGGCTGAAATTTTACTATGTTGTTGTGGGATGGCTCATTAGCAGAATATGTGAGTTTAAAAAGTTTTGTATGTTTAGTTTCTGAGATATAAGCCGACAAAGTTCGTATTACGTCGTATCGGGGTAGGATTGACAAAGAAAAAAACCGTTTCTTCAGTATAAATAAGACAAAATATGCTAGAAAATGTATTGATCGGAACTCAAATACATGTCTGGTTAGGATCACAGAAATTATAGTAAATCAGGGTGTATACGAGGCACGGTCAAAAAATTCATTTTTCGGAAAAAAATTCGAGTACTATTCCAAAACCAACAAGTTATATTTTGGTGAGACATTATAGTTTTAGTCTATTGTAGGCTTCGAAAACGTATTTTCATTCATGATAATTATCTCTGTTCGAAATATGAATTCTTTGAATTTTGTATTATAACCCTTTTGGAAAACAATTGACAGCTTGTTTTTGATCACAAAAAAGGGATTGATTGATACTGTTGATTTAATAAGAGTAAATCACTAGCGCAATCAGTTGTTCAATATTGCTTTTCATTTAGATACAGGGTGTGTTAGATTTTGTTGAAGATTATTTAACATTCTTCAGTTGAATATCTCGAAAACAGTTCCGTTGATTTGGATCTCATTTCACTCACACTATTTTGAATATGTTGACTATCATATGCAAGAAGTTTTTCAATGTTTTATGTTTCGTTTCTGAGATATGTATTTTTGAGTTTACAGTATTACAGGTATTATGGGGTTATCACCTCGGATATTACTATCGATTCAACAGAACTTTACGGAATCCATACTGTTGAGTTTCATATTGTTATTCTATGTGGTTCGTGTTGTTTATGGTAAAAAATTATTGATTGCTAATAGTTTCATAATGTGATTGTTCAAAAGATTCCGTAAAGTTCTGTTGAATCGATAGTGACATCCGAGGTAATAACCCTATAATACCTGTAATACTGTAAACTCAAAAATTGATATCTCAGAAACGAGACATAAAAAATCGATTTTTTTTTGCATATGATAGTCAACATATTCAAAATAGTGTCAGTAAAATGAGATCCAAATTAACGGAACTGTTTTCGAGATATTCAATTGAAACATGTTAAATAATCTTCAACAAAATCTAACACACCCTGTATCTAAATGAAAGGCAATATTGAAAAACTGAATTCGCTAGTGAGTCACCTCAGCTTTCATGCAATCAACAGTATCAATCAATATCTTTCTTTGTGATAAAAACAAGATATCAATTGTTTTCAAAAAGGGGTGTAACACAAAATTCTAAAAATTCATATTTCGAACAGAGATAGTTATCGAGAATCAAAATACGTTTTCGAAGCCTACAATAGACTGAAACTATAATGTCCCACCAAAATATAACTTGTTGGTTTTGGAATAGTGCTCGAATTTTTTTTCCGAAAAATGAATTTTTTGACCGTGCCTCGTATACACCCTGATTTACTATAATTTATGTGATCATAACTAGACATGTATTTGAGTTCCGAATAATACATTTTTCAGCTTATTTTGTCTTATTGATACTAGAAAAACAGTTTTTTTCTTTGTCAATCCTACCCTGATACGACGTTTTTACGAACTTTGTCGGCTTATATCTCAAAAACTAAACATACAAAACTTTTTGAACTCACATATTTTCTTAATAAGCCACTCTACAACAACATAGTAAAATTTCAGCCAATTCGACCGAGAGCCAATTTCCCGTGTTTTCGTGCGGGGTCCTTTGAACAAATTTTCCTTATTCTCGCAATTCAAATCTCCATTTTTTGTATTCAAATAAAGGAACCATGCCTTATAAGGGGCGGCCCTGAGATAGTGATGAACATAGGGAAATTACTCATAACTTGAAAACGCCGCAGCCGATTTCAATTTTTCTTCAGCGATGAAAAGGCGAATGATGTCGAAATAAATCTGTGATGAAGAATATAGGGTGTTCTATTTTAAACGTCGTCTGAATCTTACAATATTCAAAAAGGTGAATTTTTGCACCCTGTAAAGGATTATCTCGCAAAATTACTGGATTGGTGTACGTGAGACCTTGCTACTACTGATGTATGCCAAAAATATTTTCGAAATTTGATTGAATGTGGTGAAAATGGGTTTATCGATTATAACCTGGCCCCGCCGCAACCAAATTCTATATTTTTCACAGCGATTTAGCATTTATGAAACACCCAGTATTGATGAAAATATTTTCGAAATGAGAACCATTGAAAACGAAAAAAGTTTGCTCCCAAATGTTTTTCTTTAGTGATAATGGATTTCGAGATATCGAAGAATTACGCACAAAATGGCCACACTGTATTATAGTTATACAGGTTATCAGGCC